AAAAAAAAAAAAAAAAAAAAAAAAAAAATTACCATTAAAGCTGATAATTTTCCAGAGCTGGTAAATTTTAATAAAAATTTCTAAATACATCAGCAGATATTTATATTTAGCCTATTACTCACAAAATAACAACATCATTTGATTTATAATAGGCCACACATGTATACATTTATAGATTTAATAAAATGTAACCTGCAAAATTACAAAGATCAGTTTTCTGAATAAACAAATACAACAGTTTGAATGTGTCCTCCTAAATTCATGTACAGAAACAACAGAATTGAGAAATGGGCCCAATACGAGGTGATCAGGTCATGATAAAGGGATCCTGATAAAGGGATGAGTGAGGCACACCCCCTCCACCTCCCACCCCACTCTTGCTCCCTCACCATAGGATGACAAAGCAAGACAGGCTTTGCCAGATGTGGGCCCTTAATCTTGGACTTCCCAACCTCCAGCACTGTAAGCCAAAAAACAGTTAAATTTAACAGAAACTGGTCACCAGATTCCCTAATATGAATTTCACTGTCACCTGCTGACTTTAAAACTATTATCTTCCCATATGACAAAAGAATCTCACTCAACTGTCAAGCCTAATGACAATATCAGTTGGAAATGTGTCATTTTCTTATAGAAAAAGATACAATAAGGATTATCTTGAAACATTACAGATTGTCACTAATGCAATATCAGTTGGAAATGTATCATTTTCCTATAGAAAAAGATACAATAAGGATTATCTTGAAACATTACAGATTGTCACTAATGTAATAAGCAAGACAAATAGAGGAACCAGTAAAATACTGGTTCAGGTACGATCTCTAGAATTAGACCTGGGCCTGAACCCCACAAGTGGGACCTGACCTTAGGTAATTTATTTAACCTCTTTAACTTAATTTTTCTTATCTGTACAAAGCAACAGTAATAACATCTACATCACAGTTGCGAGAATTAAAATACACTCAGTGCTTGATATCCATGGAGGATGCTTCCAGGACCCCCAAAGATATCAAAATCTGAGGATACTCAAATCTCTCATATTGAATGGTACAATACTTACATATAATCTACACAAACCTTCTGTGAACCTGAAATCAACTCCAGATTACTTATAACACCTAATACAGTGTAAATGTTATATAGTAAATAGCTGTACAGTGTGTTGTTTTGGGAACAATGACAAGAAAACAGTCTGCACATGTTTGGTACAGATGCATTTTTTCCGGATAATTTTTGACTTATAGTTGGTTAAATCCATGAAAATAAGATACACCTAATACATGTCAATTATTTATTATGGTATTCGGCACAGACTGCGTTTCACTTGTATATATCCCCTGAATCTTTAGGTTGGAAGGCAACTTAGAAATGATATTTTAGCTAATGCCAACTCCCAATGGCACCTTTCAAACTATGAGGGGTGTGTGTGTGTGTGTGTGTGTGTGTGTGTGTGTGTGTGTTCATTTATTTATTTATTTAGATACAGAGGATCTAACTCAGGCCCTTTTGCTTGCAAGGCACATGCTGGAACCACTGGGCTAAATCCCCAGCCCTCCATATATTATCAGCCCCCCATGTGTTATTTAATAAAGTTTTCATCATAAGCCAAACCCTGACTTCAACTGAAGGGCTAGATGAAGTCTGAGTTCTCCATGCAGTAATACAGAAAAAAACCCACTCTCTCTTCCACTTGACCATATATCAGTTATCAAACACAGGACAAAATCTGCCAACTGCCAATCCCTCTTCTCTTCCAAATTTGCTATAATTTCTCACGTCCATAGGATATTTTAACTCCCTCACTATTATACCTTATTAGAAAATATTCCAACCAAAATCTAAACCAACTGCAGTTTTATGATCAAAGCATTACAGGATTATTATTTTGTGGCTCTTAGCACAATATAATTTAACATTGCTTGCTAAAAAATTGATAGGTTTTTCATATTTCATATTTGGCTCAGAATTTCATGTCAATTACCTAGACTGTTTCCACCTGACTTTTATCCTGACTGTATCCATGAAATGTATTTTTTAAATCCTTTCTAAAAAATTAAATGCAAGGCTTTAATTTGTTCTATTAAATTCTAATTTTGAGATTATAGTTTATCACTATAAATTAATTTTAAGTACTAATTCTTCCTTCCCAGAAAATGTGAACCACAAATATGACTTTCATTCCCTCTGTGTTTTTGTTACCACTAGTAATAAAATGCCGAGTGACAAATCCTGAGGCATAGCCCTTTGGTTGTTCAATTTCGTAACAATCTACATAACAGCACTCATATTCAGATCAAAGTTCTTTTGTTCATAGAAATATTTTATCCCACAAAATCAGTAGGCAAACATCTCCACCAAGTCTCAGAGAGCAGCACATTTAAAAGACATTCAAGATCAAGCTATATTAGCACTCCCTGATGGCTGTGTTGTGGAGCAAAGGAAGATGGAGGTTCAGAATGACATCAAGATTTTTAGTGTAAGTACTATGTACATGTATATCATCAACTGACATAGAGGTTATTAACAAGAGTAACAGAGCTCTGGGAGAAGATCACGTGAGGATTCAGACAAGCTCCATGGAATAATACATGCACATGGCAGATACACAAATATGTCAGATGGCACACCCAGTAATATGCTTAAGTATTTTTTTTACAATTTAACCTTATAATATTTAACATACTGGACTACTTCCCATCCTTTCTTCACCGAACTTTCCTGCCACTGTGCCTTGTTCGTTGCGCTGTCAATGCCAGGTGTATTGTATCAACCCTACCAAGATCCCTTCCATTCTCTAAGGCTCCACTATTCCCTCCATAAGATCTTCCAGGAAGTGTCATCTTACCTATACAGAGGCCAGTGATGGACCATGTTACATTTGGGAACAACTTCTAAAGTCCAGGGTAGTGTCTTATGTGCTTATCATATAAATATAACAGCCATACATCACTCAATGATAGGCACATGTTCTAAGAAACACGCCCTCAGGCAATTTCATTGTTGTATGTACATCTTAAAGTGCACTTATACAAGCCTAGAAGGCAGAGCCTACTGCACAATTAGGTTGTATGGGAGAGCCTAGGGCACCTAGGTTACAACTTGGACACCAATTTAGTGACTGTACTAAATATTGTAGGCAACTGTGAAACAATGGTAAGAAAAGGAACAGAAAAATACCATTTGTATACACCTGTCTAGGACACTCATGGTTTCGAAAGCGTGCAGGACTGGAAGCTGCTCTGGGAGTCAATGACTGACAAGTGTATGCAAAGGTCTGGACATCACTGCACACTACGCTAGACTTCATACACACTGAACACTTGGGCGATACATTTGTGAAAAACATTATTTCTCCAATAATAAACTGACCATAACTTACTGTAACTTTTTGCTTTCTAAATTAAGTTTTATTTATTTTTCTAGTGGCAGTGAGAATCGAACTCAGGACTTTGAGCTTGCTAAGCAGGCACAGCACCACTGAGCTAAATCCCCAGCCCCTAAATTTAAAAAAAAAGATCAATGCCAAACTTGGTTTTAAATTCTGGCTAGTAACTGTGATTGTGGGCAATTTAACTGATCTTTCTGGGCCCTGGATTCATCTGTAAAATGATGGCAGTGATGATGGTAAAGGCTAAACAAAATTATTTCTCTAAAACGTATAGCATTTAGCAAATTATCAGTAATCAGTAGCTATTTTATTATTTGAAGCACTTTCAGATCTATGACATAACCAATGATAACAATTCATACCCCCCCAAAAAAAAACAAAACCCACAAAAACAAAACAAAACACAGAACAGGAGAATTCTGGAGGGTGACTGATTGATTGATTGATTGATTTTTACATCAGTGATGAGGATCAAACCCAGGGCCTCCCACTGGGCAAGTGCTCTACCACTGTGCTGTACCCCTCAGCATAGTTAGAAATTTATCTAACTTGAACTCTACATGAAGTGTAAAAGTGCTTAATAAACATTAGGTATAGAAATAAAAATTTAAATGCCATACTGTCCTATTTCTGAGAAGTGAATCAATAACTATAGATACTTAGCTTTCCAATGTATTTGGTTCAATAATCAGATTTTAAACTTTTTTTTATTTACAGGATTTTTTGGTTTTTATTATTATTATTATTTTATTTGTTTTTTGTTTGAAGACAGGCTCTTGCTATGTAGTTCAGGCTGGCCTTGAACTCACTATGTAGGTCAGGCTGGCCTCAAACTCCTGTGATCCTCCTGCCTCAGCCTCCCAAGTGCTGGAAATACAAGCAGGTACCACCATGCCCAGCTTGACATTCATTAAATCTTTAAATTCATATATTTTAAATTAAGACATACTTCCTGTAATTGCTCTTGATCAACCTGTTTTCTTCTATCTGCCCAGCAGTATCAAGATTACTCCCAAACCCTTTGTAAACATGCTTCTTTAAACCAATGAGTAACTGACAAGAAATCTAAATAACATGTGTCCCAAAATAATGCAGATTCTACCAGGATAATACTATTTAACAAATTTCTTTGTAAAACATCAGTGCTGTAACAGGAACGACTGTGAAGAGTCTCAGATCTGCAGTCTTTCAGAAGACTCAATGTTTGAGTTGTTTTCTAATGTGAAAAATAGCATTTTCCAAACAAGCCAAACAAGTGATGATAATCAATGGAACAACACAAGTGAAAGCCCTTATAAAACTGTAACACCTGCAGGAAACTCACATTTATAATTTCCCCCATAGAGTAATCAAACTACAAGTATGTAATATAAAAAACGAGATGTCCTTTGACTTAAACTTTTTTAAAGATAAAATTTATGAATATATTTTAAAATGTTAAAGTTGAGAACTACCTAAGGAAAACACAAGGCAAATCTGATATAAAACTAGCAGAACGTTAAATTGATAAAAACATCTATTTCTATATTATCAATAAACCCAAAGTAAATCTAAGTGAAAAAATTGGCAGAACCCAAGGTCATGTGTCCTGTTCCTCAGTAATGAAATCATTAAAGTTGTTTACACTGGCATAATACTGACTTAAAGGTAACAAACCTCAGGAATAACAAGTCAAACTTTGAAACAGTAAAAGCAAGATTTCCATCATATACTTACATTTAGGTTGCTACCCACTCTGCCAAGGACAGGAAAGGATGTGACATTTCTTAAAAATAATAACATTGTGCTCTGCCATTACTCTGCAATCAATATTGGAGTTTTAAAACTCCTTTCTGAACAGCCATCACATTGAAAGAAAGCTTTCTGTATCAAATAAGAGCAACACCTTAAAAGGGGGGTGGGGGTTCTGTTTAAATAGTTAGTTAAGTCTTTGAACTTTTTCTACTTTCCTGAAGGCCATTATATACTAGCATGACATAATCACCTGATATGCAGCCAGTTGTTAACAACTGGAAAACGTCTATTTTTTTAATCTTACCAGTAAAAATGTCATAAACACATTCAACTACGTTAAAACCATAATCTACTGGAAAAATGTAGGAATCTCCAACAAGGACTATTTATAATACGAGGAAGAACTTTTATTTTCTGTGACTTGTTAACAATTCCTTGGTTACTTTGCCAGAGGAGGAGTCTATTTTGCAATTGTGCAGATGTTCTTATTTTTGCTTTCTAGTTATGTTGCAAATAGTAATATATGTTGAATTATGTGGTACATTGAACGCTTCTCCTAAGCTAAGCACAGCTTCACAAGAACCCTATGAGGCAATCAAGAGTTAGGTAATGTACTCAAGTCCACAGAACTAGTAAAAGCCGATTTCAATCCCAGAATGAATGACTCCAAACCTCGTGTTCTTAGCCAGCGTCTTAAACTCCGTAATGAAAAAGGTAAAAAGAATGAACTGATCGTATTTCTTAGTCTCGGGCTTTTACACTAAATATCTAACTGCACTGTTTAGCTGTTTCCTAATTTATTCCTCTATATCTATTATAAGGCAATATATTATGTATATATAAAATGTAAGCAAAAACCATCTAACCTTAAAATATAAAACAAAACCTTCCAAGCAAACTAATTTTATACTTCAAAGTTGAAAGAAACAATGCTGGAGGACTTAGTACCCTACAACTTGCTAAAGGTGCAAGTCAGTTTTTTCAGGTCAGAATGCTCCTCATAAAATCTGCAAGACAGCACTTGCTTCCTTTTGTGGAATGAAGAGAGACAGCTCAATCCAATAATGGAAAACTTAGCGTCTCCTAGTGTAATCAATATTACCTCAGAATGTATGGAATGTCAAGGAATTAGAACCTTACCTAGCTCAATATCTCTGCTCTCTTCTTGTGTCATAATCGCAGCATGCACAGGGCTGGTCAATTAGTGTCTAGCCCAGTGAGGTCATGTTCCTGAAAGATTAGTTTTCCTGCTAATATTTGGAATAAGTAGGGCATTTTACCGGAGCCCTCAAAAATACTATTTCTAGAAGTTATCTCAGTATTTGTAAAGCCGTACATTGCATTTTGATCATTGTTTGTAACCATGCCTCTTCTGAGCGCCCAGACGAAGGCTATCATAACAGTAAAGCCCTTTCCCATTACGACACGTAGCTATTTTGCAACCATGACAAATGTTTGCAATAAAAGGGAACACGAACGCTACGTGCCAGACACAGTGGTATGTGCTTTAAAAGCACCGCATCTCACAACACCTTCTAGAGGTGGTAGAGTTGCGATACGGACTTCCTAGACCAGAAAAGTGCGGATGGGGGAGTCTGTCACTCACCCAAAAGCGAAAACAGCAAGCAGGGTGAGGATAAGCACTGAGGTCTCCCCTAAAGCCAGTGCGTTTGACAACTTCTCTAAACCGTTCTCAAGAAAGAAGTCTCAAAATCCCACAGAAACCGCTGTATCACCGCTCTTCAACTTGAAAAACGTAAAGCATCCAGACTGCTTTCTCTTTCACAACTTTAAAAAGAGCAAATTGCAAGCTTTCCCCCAAAATTCCAGTGGGGCTCGGGGGAGGCGAAAGCCGGTTCACAGCGGAGTAGAAAAGAGGGAGAAAAGGGCCAAAGACCTATGAAAGAAACCAGCAAATTTCTAGAACTAGAAAAAACAATGAGGAAGACGAGAAAGAGGAAGGCAGCGGAAGGCGGCCGGCGGAAGTTAACCGTGAGGCCGTGCGAAGCAAGCTGTCACCGAGGCGGCCTCCCCAAAAGCCGCAGACCGAGACTGGGGCCGGCAGGGCGAGGGGCGCAGCTACGCCGACCTCGGAGCCTCCG